ACTCCAACAAGGCTCATTCAAAAAAAAAAAGCCTTACTGTCTCTTTAAGAAAATCAGCTGTAGTCAAGTGTTTCTATTTGCTGCACCAACAAAGGAGCAAAGTATGGCTGAACAAATGAAAATCCCTGACCCCCACGGAAAGAAGAGAGAAGAGTTGTATGTGTCTGATGAAGCAGAAGAGAGGTCAGGTTTCAGCCTCGAGATTGATGTCAAATATTTCTAGACTCTGCTGTTTGTGTCCTCTTTGTTATTTTTAATGTTAAGTGCCCAATTATAGATGTGTATTTTAAAGGCTTTTTAAAGCTGTCATTAAACGTCAGGGATATTTGACTGATGAACTCTGAAGACAAATGAAGATTTTGGTTCTGAAATTGTGCCGTACAAACACGGACCGTCCACTCCAGCCTCCCTTAGAAATTCCAAACTTCCTTTCAGCTTGGTTTGTGAGCAGAGGCTATGGTCGAGCTGCCAGCCTGGGAACAGTGGCAGCCAGTATGGTACCAGGAGATCAGAGGAATTGTACAGAGAGAAAGCCTGCATCAATGGAGAGAAGCTTGCAGAGCGCAGCTCTTTCAGCCAGGTCAGGTTGACATGAGTTTATGACTTTATGTGTTCTAAAGTTTCCACCAACCCAACGAGGGAGGGTTTGCAGCTCTTGTAAAGGTTTCTTCAGCGCCCCTTCAATTGATGTGAACTTCCCCCAAAAAATAAAGCAACTATCATAATGATTTTTATATGAAATGCTGCATCTGAAACTTTAGATATAGCCAAACGTTTTAAGGTATTATTAAGTCATAGTTTGTTTGTATTAATAAAACAATAGATAAAATATAGCTGTACAGTACAGTTGGTCACATTAGAGTTAATCATGTTTTCTTTCAATAGCAGCAAATAAAAAGTATACTTACTGGCCACTTTTTTAGGGTCAGGGTTAGGGTTACCTGTCCAACTGCTCATGAATGCAAATTTCTAATCAGCTAATCACTTGGCAGCAACTCGCATTTAGGCATGTAGACATGGTCAGGACAATCTGCTGCAGTTCAAACCGAGCATCAGAATGCAGAAGAGAGGTGATTTAAGTGACTTTGAATTTGACATGGTTGGTGTTGCCAGATGGGCTGGTCCTAGTATTTTAGCAACTGCTGATCTATTGAGATTTTAAAGCACAATAATCTCTAGGATGTACAGAGAATGGTCCAAAAAAGAGAACTAAATATCCAAATATCTTGCTGATGGCAGAGGTCAGAGGAAAATGGCCAGACTGGTTCGAGAATTAAATTAAATAACCATTTGTTATAACTAAAGTATGCAGAACAGCATCTCTGAAAGCGCAACATGTCGAACCTTGAGGCTGATGGTTTACAGCAGCAGAAAACCTCTGTGGGTGCCACTCCTATCAGATAAGAACAGGAACCTGATGGAAGATTCCAGTTCAGTCCATCTCTATTTATATCGCACCAAAAAAAAAACAATAGGACCAAAGTGCTGCTCAAAAGCAGAAATACAAACCCCATTAAATGCACTAAGATGAATAAAAATATTAAATAAATAAGTAAAAAAGTTATAACAAAGTCAAAGAAAAAAAACATAAAATAAACACTAACATCCTTTTGAGTATTAAACGCCAGAGAGAAAAGATGAGACTTTAAAAGAGATATAAAAATGGTGAAAAAGGAACCTGCCTGATATGCAGTGGCTTCCAGTGTCTGGGTCCAGCTACAGGAAAGTCCGCTCTAAGTTTACGTCTCATTCTGGGTACTGACAGGATTAACTGATCCACTGACCTAAGGGTACAAAGCGGTACATAAGGATGTGTAGGAGATGAATGATATTTGGTAGGGCAAGGCCATTTGAAGACTTAAAACAAATTGACCAGCAGCCTGTGGGATGAACTTCAAACTGAGGAAATTCAAACTTAGTTGTCCAGGTTAAAAGTTGTGCAGAAGCATTTTGAACCGTCCACACATGGGCAATTAAATATCTATTAACAATAAAATAAAGTGCATCACAATAATGAGTGGTCACAAAGGTTCTGGATCACTCTCTCAAAGAGTGCTTTGCTTAGCATGAGCTTTATTATGGCCAGCTGCCACAGCTGAAAGAAACAGGGCTTTGATTTGAATGTCAAAGATAAGATGATTGTACATTTTAAAAATTAGATTTGTTGCCATTGGCTTAACAAACTGATCCAGATAGCCCCGGTGTAAGTTGTAAGTGTAAGTTGGCTTGTCTAAGTGCCTCCAAAAGCCATCACTTCCAACTTTTTCTCATTCAAATTCAAAAATTTTAAAGCCATTCATGCTTTAGCACTATCCAAACATTTCAGAAGAGATTCAACAGTTTTTGTTGTTTCGACATTCATTTCCTGGTAAATGAGTCTCTGATACAGTGATTTACCTAAACCCTGGGGAGAGTGAATAAACAGTGGAAATGTAAAAAAAAAAAAGGAAGATGTCACTCAGAATAAAAGGGCTTTAATATCGAAAAATTGAAGGTTTAGACTCATAAGAGTAAAAAATTAGAGGGAAATTTTGGAAGATACAATTTTAGGCTTTAACAATTTCTGAGAGCTTTAAAAAGAGCAACTGTTAGCTTCTCTCTTGGGGGGTTGTACACTTCTAGGGGAAGGAAGAAAAACAAATAATCAATAATTTGCATGATTTGTGACACTATGTGAAATGGCCTTGCATGATCTGTTTAGTTTTATAACTCTTGTTGCTTTTTTTTTTTTTTAAGCCTATTTGTCATGCTGCCTTGCTTAGGCATGGTTTGTATTTGTGCAACTCAAGCCTATAATTACCCTTCTCTGTGAAAAGAAAACAGAATTTAACTCCCACCATAATCTCAGGTTAATTGAAGTTTATTATTTTTGTTTTCTTTTTCTGGTGCTGGTTCCAGCATCATAATTGTCTCCAGGACATAGCAAATCCACCCAGGAAAAGTACAGTGCTTGTATCTTAATTGCCACTTAGCATGAGAAAGAAAGCATCTCCTGTAATACACAAAACTGTCAACCCAAAATCTCAATATTTTTTTTTTTAGAAGAAACTCAATTGGAAACTCTCTAGGCTTTTCAGAATCAAGGCTTTATCCTGACGGTCTGTGCCTTGACTCTCAAGCTAATGAGGGAGATGACATCACTGCAGGCAACAAAGTGGGGCATCAAAGTCAATAGTCTTTGACATATTGGCTCAGAACAGCCCAGAATATAAGGAATAAGCAGGGTCCATTCAAGTTAAAGCAAAAGTCTGTTTACAAATTCAGATTGGCTTAGAGGTGATTAATTGGTCATTGTGCAGAGAAACTTGTCAAAGAATAAGTGAGACCAAAAACATGGCATGGAAATCCAGGAGACAGGGTGTAACTTGGAGATCAGGCTTTCAATAATCTGGTGAAGAGCTGTGAGAAAGTGAGCATCAAAACAGAGCAGAGCATTGGTGTAAAGAGCTGGTCATCCTCCCGCAGCAGTGTGTCGCAGTGAGCTTGCAGCACATATTTTTGATGTATGCCCAATTTTGAGGCGTGGTCTGCGCTATGTTATTCCACGGCGCAACGCAAAAGGGAAAATCAGGAACTAGCTGTGGGTCTAGATACGGCCGAGGCGGTGAGGAAGTGGGGGCAAGTTTGTGTGACAACGGAGGGACATGAGGGCGAAAAAGAGCGGGGATCCAGGTGGAAAAGGGTCCCAGCGTTCTCACGCACCTCGCTCTTCTAGCTAGTTCAACTTCACGAGTTGTTTTCCACAATGGTGTTCAACACAACAAACAAAACAAGCCGCTAAGATACCAAGCAGAAAATACGCATAGTGTAGAGCAGATGTAGATTTGACCAATCAGATGCCTCCTGTCTGAGGCGCTGTCTGAGGTCACCTACAATTTTGGAGAGGTGCGGAAGGGGGGGCATATCTGCGTTCACTGCGGCACACACGCATACAACCTAGAGTCTGAGTATAAACCAGCCTTAAGATGGGCATGGTGGGAGATAAAGAGTAAAACATCTTTTAATGCAGATTCACTGGGTGCATAAAAAATGGACAAGAGGCTTAATATAGGTAGCTGGTGAAGCAGAATGCCCTAACCACTCGGCCACCTCTCCCCTATAGATGTGTTTCTATCCAAATATGAGGCAAATATTGAACAAACGTTTTCAAAGTCTAAAAAAAGATGTGTTTCCATTCACTGGAGGGAATTATTGAGGCCTTGCAAATCGCATCATAAGCTGACATCAACAGCCGATTCAAAAAAGTCAAAAACCACCTCGAGCAAATGTAAAAACGTTTTTGCAAAATTTGGTATGCTGATTTAAATTTGTAATGCGATTCCACTAAATGGACAAGAAAAGGTTTTTGAAAACAGGCCAGGTGAAGCAGAATGCACGTACACTCAAGCCTATAGAATACCCTTATCTCTCATGAACTGACTAATGGAGCCTATAGAGCCAGTTGTGACTAAGAGGAAAACTCATTGTATGGGATTGTGTGGACATGTATGGGAAAAATAATTATATTTAACCTTTAAACTTAAATGCAAAGTTTGTTATTGTTAAGTGACAAAAAGGTAATATTTTGTGAGGCTTTGTTTGCACTGTGCCATAAGTGCGGTGATAAGGAAAACCTTGTAATCACTGCTCTATTGTCTGTACTGTACGCTATCCCACACATTTTTTTACGACCTTTCAAGTCTTTCAGTAATCAGTCATTTTTTTTTTCCTCTTCTTTTATCTCCGTCCAAGGCCAGCCTCTCTGTTGTAGGTTTATAGATTAAAGAGAACAGACGGGGTGGAGGGTGAAGTTGTGAATGCTGAGTTCTTTGTCTCCTCTCAATGCAAATTTAGATTAATATCAGCTTTATTTCCTAAGATTTCAATCCATACATCAACATCAAAATGTTATTATTAAAAACTTATCAGTTTTAACAGTTAGGTTTTAACAATACATCAGAAAACTGTTCAAGAACGCGACCTCAGCTGTGTTTTTTATGGTAAACTCCTCTGTGCTGCAGAGTCCCGGTGGAGCAGAGAAGGGGTCGTGTCCTGACCCGATCCAGTCCCAGCAGCCCAGGATCCAGCACAGCTTTGTCCAGGAGCATTTCCAGGCTCAATACAAGTGAGTTTGTCCTCTCAACAGCCCACATATAACATCTGCCTTGAATTAGTCCTGTGATAGCAACAAAGGAGCAGCAGGGCTTATGACTATCCAGTGATTTCCTGGGATGAGTGCTACCATCATGTGATCATGTGGGGGTGTGAAGCACTTGTTGATGTAAGACCGCCCGTGGATTTTTATTGTTTGAGAGTAGGTTGTTGTACAGTACATCAAGTGTTGATTTTTCTCCTTGAAGATTTGTGTGCTCTGTATTCAACCAGCTCAGAGTGGGGTGTCCCAAACAAAACCCAGCAAAAAGGTTTTATCTTTGTTACAGCCCCCCACATACTAACCTCTAATGCTGCCTAACAGAGTTATGGTTACCATACAATAGTTGTGCTGTTGTGTTTTCAGATGTTCTAAATGTCAACTCAAAGGTCACAGCTTAAAAGGTGCTGTACACAATCCCAATGTCCCACTGTGGCGACATTAAGAAGCATGGCTTGCATTCTTTATGAGAAGGGTTTTCTAAAGAGCTTATTTGTAGTTAGTGTCTAATCTGCTGCATGTTAAACTGCTGAGCTTAGACAGAGAGAATGAGCTTCTGTCTGAGTAAAACAAGCTTTTCACAGAGGTTCTTGATCAAATTGATCAAAACCTTCTAATTTAATTTCACTTTTAATTTTTAAAGTCATATGAAACGGCTGTACCAACCGTTGCATTTCCAAATTTTCCCAAATGGTGCCTGACTTTACACGAGTGAATAAAGTGAATGTGATTGGTCGTTTATCAAGGGGGCGAGATTGTTGTGGCGGAAGGTTTGCAATCAAGTTTGATTGTAGCCGGTTTGTCGGAAGCATCTTGCTAACCAGTTAGCAACTTAGTGCTAGTAGGTTCCCAATGGGAAATTACATTGGGACCAAGTAGCACTGAATTGGTGACTTAGCAACGACACTGTCAAGGAACGCTATGGACAGAGGAAACATGCAAGAGGAGGAGAGTTTTGTGTCGCAGGTCGTGGATGAGTCTCCTCCGTCATACATTTTTTATCTAAAGGAGAAAAATGGGGACGAAGTTGCTGTGGAAGAGGACGCCAGGGTGGCAGAAGCTTGGTTTGGTGTAGAAGGCTTACATGAGCCCTTGCCTCCCAACACTGCCAGTTCTGTTAGCTCTATGCCTGCCGAAGACACAGATTGGCCAAATTTAGGTGTTCAGGCTGACATATAACTAACTGGCCTGCATAAAATAAAGGGGGAAAACAGGTTTTAAGACAGGATTTCTTCAAAAATAGAATTTTCTAACTTTTGAGACAATATTGTCTGATAAAGAGTACATTTATATACATGTTTAAGCCAGAATGATTCGACATTTAGATATGACTTCTCTACGAATTTAAATAAAGAAAGTGAGAAATTAAAGATGATATTAGAGACAGTGAATCTTTCTAAAGAGAAGTATACCAAGTTTATGCTGCATATGCAACAATGATTTTAAATAAGTACAACATGCCGCTGTTCTGCTCCAATTATTGGTGTTCCAGGCATACCATATATAGCAGATGGTTCCTTACATGTGTAAGGGCAGTTATGATTAACAATAAAGTGTATTTCAAAACTGTATCTTTGTTGACCGGGGGTTTTTCTTCCTTTGCATATCCTCCAGGAGTATAGCGGTGGGTTCATTGGTGTCCCTAGAGCACCCTTCAGTGTGAGTCTGGGTGCATGGTTGTATGTTTCTGCATTGCCCTACAATGGACTGCTGACCTTGCCACTGCTAGAGACGCACCCCCCACAGGGATCCCAATCTGTGGATCCCAGATTGGGGGATCCACAGGGAATCTCTGAAGCCATCATAGGGCTGAAGTATGTGACCCACAAAGAAGCTTTAAAGAATCTCTGAAGGCTAGGACTGTCATTGAAATCTCTTGTTAAAATAATTTCATAAATAACAAAAAAAACACACAATAAAAGGAGGCTAACCTTTAATGTGACATAAATACTCAGTGAAATTTCACTTATTACCAAAACTAAAAGGAATGAAGATGTTGGTTGTATAAGGGTTAGACACCCATCCTGTGAAATTCAGAATCATTATTTATTTGGCAGTTAAATGCCAAGTCCCATTTTGAACCAATATGGGATCCAATTTAGTCCATATATTGATAAATATCCAAGGGACGTCTGTCACACACACTCGTACTCCAACTCCGACTTTCCTCTCCCCAGACTCCAGATGCCATAGGAACTCCCAAATCGGCTAAAAGACATAGTCCCTCCAAAGTGTCCTGAGTCGTCACCCTGGCCTCCTCCTGGTGGGACGTGCCTGGATCACATCCAAGGGGGGGCATCTAGAGGGCATCTGACCAATATGTCAGAGCAACCTCAGCTGAGTCCTCTTGATGTGGAGGAGAAGCGACTCTACTCTGAGCCTCTGCCAAAAATAGTCATATAAATTATCCCAGAAATAGTTGGACTCTCCTCTGTCACAAACACATCAACACTAAATCTAATAAAAATTAACAAACTAAAACAGGAAATACTAAGGCTAACTTAATTGTTTTGGTAGGCTCTAAGCAGAAGCTCCTGAGCTTTGGGTCTGCTGCTGTCATAGTTGCCTAGGGATGTACATCAAACCATTCGTCGTTCTCTCTTAGCTCCAGTGCAGACACTGGCCAACCATTGCTTCCCCTCCCTGTTCTGGTGCTCTCTACCCGAGGACTTCTCTGATCTACCGATGTCCTCTTCAATCTCCTGCTGTGATGCCCTAGCTCCTGAGGGGTGCACAACCAATTGCCTTGTCCCAGTTCTGGTCCTTTCTCTGCTGGGGTGAATGGTCTGATTTTCAGTTGCTCCTGTCTGAGATCCAGAACACTGTCTCACCCGACCTTAAGCTCTGTAAAAGTCAGCAGTGATTGAGCTGTAGCTCTTGAACTCACCAAACTTAGATTAGATTAGATTAGATTCGATTAGATTAGATTAGATTAGATGAGCTTTGTTGATCTCACAGTGGAGAAATTCACTCGTCACATATTGGCATAGTAGTCAATGAAGGTGCAAACAAGGAGGAAAAAGGTGCATTAAGAATAAACAATAAACAATGTATATACAGTATATCCAGGTATATACAGTATATCAAGATAAATAAGGATTAAGGTGCAAGTGTACATGTATTGCACACAATGAGAACAAAATAAAAATAAGAAATAAAAAATAAAAATATGTACAATCCGGATGGCTTATATACAGGTGGATTTACTTTTACGTTAAAGTTTAGTGGGTAATTATTGCACATTCAGCATATTGCACAGAATATTGCCCAGTCAATAAATAAAAAACTCTAATATAGCTGCACAGTGGTTTTTACAGGAGTTATTGTGGTTATAGTGCATTATTATAGAGTCTGGTGGCAGCAGGAATGAATGACCTGTGGTAGTGCTCCTTCTTACAGACAGGGTGTCTAAGTCTCTGGCTAAAGGAGCTGCTCAGCTCCTCTACAGTCTGGTGCAGGGGGTGAGAGGTGTTGTCCATGATGGATGTCAGTTTAGACAGCATCCTCCTTTCAGCCACTTCCTCCACCGAGTCCAGAGGGCAGCCCAGGACAGAAGTGGCCTTCCTCACCAGCTTATTCAGTCTCTTTCTGTCCCGCTCTGAGCTGGGACCATTTAGGATGATCTGTTGGACCGAGGGACGACAGCGGCCTTTCTTCAGCTCTCCAATGTAAATGAAACTCTGTAAAATCCAGGTCTGCCATCTTGAAACAAACAACCAGCAGATGAAATGATGTAGTGGAGCCTTTCGCCTACAGCAAATCTGAACAGTGAGCAAATTCACTCTATTTAGCAGGTGGATTTCTGGCAAAAGGCACATGACACTTGCGTTTCTTGTCACAGGTTTCCATTTGGTATGAACTCTCCATACCATCTTTAACTCTCCCCTCTGAATGCAAAGTGCTCTCTGCAGAACACTCCTGGACGTCCCTAGGTCCCGGTATAAACAGTAGGGCAATCGTTCCTAAACTGTAGAACAACAATTGATCTGAACCTTTTTAAGTCCAGACTAAAGACTTTTTTTTTTTTTAAACTGGCTTTTAATACTTGGGACACAAGTTTTTATGATCATGATATTTTATTTTTTTTTTTGCAAATTTTTATTTTTCTGTGAAGCACTTTGGTCTTCCTGGTGTTGTTGAAAAGTGCTATATAAATAAAGTATGATTTGATTTGTCATTAGCAGAAAACCAACATAAATGGCGGCCCCCATGACTGTGACTGGAACATTTTCTAAAGGAAAATATGGAATTTGCGCCTGTTTATTTTCCAGTTGGTACAGGGAAATTAGAGTCTATTGACCCTGAAATGACTCCAACACTAACACCTGTTGCTACTGATTAAGGTTTAAAAAGAGGCTGCAATTTGCTTGAAATAATCCTTATTAATCACCAACCAATATATTATCAAGTTTATACATTTTTACCTGAAAATCTTTTTCATTTATATCTACTTTGGTATGTGAACATCTTGCATGTCGCTAGATTCAATCCCAGCAGGCATGAGGCCCATCGAGCTGTAACAGAAAGGATAAAACAGCTCAGCAGAAGGGGAAGGCTGTGCTTAGACTAAGCTCTGAACGTACAGTCAAGTGAACAGATCACCCGTTCAGAATGGGCTTCTTTATTTTTCAGCTTAAGGAAAGTCATGTGTGGCACGTGAAGTTGGGAAAATGTGTGTCTCATGCTTATTTATTGAGACCACTTGAACCGGATGTCTAACGCACAAAAAAAAATAAAAATTCTAGAACTGACAGTGAAAATAGATAAAATTAATTTTTTAGAACAGCAATGTAGATTTTCAAAATAGATAAATTCTGCTTTAATTAATTAAATTGTATTTCTAATAGCACTCGTTTCTGACTCTTGTTTAAATTGTAAGAAAACATTATTAGGATCCCATGTTTATATAAAACACTAACAATATAAATAATTATTTTTTTGAACCTCTTCTGCTGACTGATATATTTGTACCA